CCTACTTACAAACGGGGTGAGGCAACTCCACACTAGCTGCTTCCCCCCAGCAGACCAGGGAGATGCGAAGCTAGCGCCCCCCCACCCCAGCAGACCAGGGAGAGGTGGAGCGGCTTTTCTCAGCAGACACTTCAGCTTGAGAATAAAGGGCTGAGGGAAGTGAGGTGTGGGAGAATAAAACTGAGCTCTGGAGAAATGTTTGGCTAGAGTTTCCCCTACAATATGTACCAGTTCCGACTTACATACAAATTCAACTTAAGAACAAACCTACAGTCCCTATCTTGTACGTAACCCGGGGACTGCCTGTATATAAAAAGGGCTCTAGAGGTGATCCTGGCAATTAAGGATGGGGTAGTCTATCCTCAGTACCAGGCAAATTAGTTGAAATTAGAGTTAAAAATACTATTGTCTGACACATAGATGATCATAAATTATTTGGGGAAAGTGAACATGGTTTCCGTAACGAGAAATCCTGCCTTACTAATCTATTAGAGTTCTTTGATAGGGTCAGCAAACATGTGGACAAGGGGGAAGCACTGGATATTGTGTACTTACCCTGTCATGCAGCAGCTTTGGCTTAGCTGCCTGCTGCTCCAGCTGTAGGTCACAAACAGACAGGAGAAAACTGATCCTTCCACTCCCCCAGTCCCACTCTGTGGCCCGGGAAGAAAGGGTCCCCATGGCTGGGAGATGCAGACCCTGGATGAAATGCACATGCTGTGAATGGGGACTAGGATTCGGGGGGGTCTGAGTCCTATCCCCAAACTCTGCTACTGCCCTGCTGGATAACCCTGGGCAAGTCAAGTCACCTCCTCATGCCTCAGTTTCCTCATCTATAAAATGGGAAGAGACATCGACTTAGTCCCAGGTAAATACAAGGCTGAAGAGAAGTGGCCAGCTCTGTCCACTTGTAGAACAACAGCAGGGGCACCACAGTCTCTCAGTCCCCATGAACTGGTGTACTGAGCACAGCTCCCGGTCCCTGCCCCACAACGATCACCCACTTTCCCAGGGGGGCGCCAGTCCTCTCTGCAGTGCTGCCCACGGCGCTGGGAATAACACGCACGTTGGTGGGTGTGGGCAGAATGGAGAGCTCCCTCCCCTCTCTGCGTGCCCCTGGCACGGCCTCTTGTCTGCGCCGGCAGGCAGGGCAGGGCCTCTGCTGTCAGGGGCCTCCCAGTGGGGCCGGCTGGTGTCCCTGACGTTTTGCACCGATGCCCTTGGGTTGGAGCCGGGCTGGGCAGCCGAGCTGGGCAGAGCATCCCTGGCTGGCCAGGTCCTTCCCGACCCCTAGGACCTGCGTTAGCAATTGGGATGGATCTCAAAGATCTAGGAGCTGCCTGTGCACACATGAATTGTGAGGGGAGAGTTCTTTGCACTCAACAGTGAACTCTCTGCCTGAGGCCTTAGTCCCACAATGAAATTTCTAAATAATGGTCCAAAGCGCAAAGGAGGGGAAAGGGTTAATTCTCGGCTGCTGTTTCCCACCTGAGTCAGTCTCAGAGGCCAGGTCCTGGGGGCTCCCTGCTGGCTCCGAGCCCCCGCTGGGATTCCCAGGGCTGCTGTATAAACACCCCTGTCTCTCCGCCCTGCGCAGTGCGGCTTCCCCATCCCTGCAGCTCCCTGTGCCCAGGCAGCGATCGCTCATCCCGGCCAGGGCAGGAGCCTGGTGAGTCCTGGGCAGGGCAGGGATCTGCCCCGGGGCGGCTGGAAACCCCTGGCCTCTAGGAAATGTGGGAAGGGGGGTTGGCTGGAACGGGGCTGCCTCCCTTGCACTGCAGGGCAGCACGGCAGGCCCTGGCCCTGAGCAAATGGCCCTGGCCCGGCGCGGAGGGGAAGTGTCACGGCGCGGGAGTCAGGGGGGCGCTGGCTGTGGGACTGGGAACAGGGGCTGATTGTGACCCACCTGCCCCTCCTGCCGCTGCAATGCTCCGTGGCAGGCGACGGGCAGGGCTGGGCTGCACAGGCTCTATGTGACTAGAGAAGGTGGGTGCCGATGGCAGAGCTCTCTGGCCGGGGGAGTTAATCCTGCAGCCCGAGAGGGGGGAGCCGTGTATGCTCGGGGGCTGGGGCTGGTGTCCCTGCATCCCACAGGGAGGTGGAATTATCCCCCCCCTCGCCATGTCGCTAACCAGGACAGATCCGTGCTGTGTGGGGAGGTGTGATGGAGGCTGGGCTGTGGGGCTGGGCTCTCTGTGCTGCCCCCGCTCTGCACCCCCAGCCGGCCCAGGAGACCTGGAGCAAACTGCCCAGGGAACTCAGGGTCTGGCAGGGTCAGCAGGCACCCGGCCGGGGCTACTGTCCATGAGGCAGAGGCCCAGCTACACGCTGCCCCTCTGAGGGAGCTGGGAGCGGTCCGGGGCCTGGTGCCTGTTGGACATCTCTGCCCGTCCCTCCCGCCCTGCCCGTGTCTCTCGGCGGGTCGGCCTGTCCCTGGGCTCGGTGGGGAACGGATGCTCAACCAGCACCGCAGAATAGTAAAATCCATGGGCTGCAGCTGGGCCTGTGGGTGAACCCCTGTTATGTGGGGACCTCACGTTGCCCTGCCTCCACCCACGCTCTGCCTGGGCATTCCCGTGTAGCACTGAGGGGCAGATTGTATGGTCCAGTTGGGCCTTGGTCCTTCTGATAGGCCTGGGAATGTTCAGCCCTGGACTTGAGGTTGTATGTAGGAATCCTGGTCAGCAACAGCCGCCCCTTTCCTGCCCCGGCCTGGGAGCAGAGCCGGTCTCTGGGGCATGGCCTGGTTCTGCCTCGTATTCGTCATGTTTGGACCCTACTTTGGCCAGGCCCTGACACCAGCGCTCGTGTTCCAGGCCCTCTCCCTGCTGCCTTCCCACCTTGTCCTTCATGGGCAGGTGTCCCCCATCACCCTGGAAAGGCAGAATCTATGGGCTGCGGATGGGCCCATTGCCCAGTTTGCGAACAGGGGCCGCAAACAGGGAGTTTGAGAGGGAGTTTGGAAGGGGCGTGGGAAGGGGCCGAGGCACACTTGCCATACTTTACAGCTCAGTTTAAAAGTTTTAATCAAAACTTACTGATAGAACTAGAGACCCTCTCAATAACCTAAGTAGCTGTAGGAGAGAATGCAGGCAGAAGCTCAGCAGCAGAGTGGGGGCTAGCCTGTTTATTGTACTCACTGTAGCATGGATGATTACCTGCCCAGTGGGCAGTGAGCAGTTTTTAAACTAAGAGACGGGGGAAAGCCGATTGGTGCGGAGGAGCACGTGGATTGGACAGAGACATCTCTTAGAGCAGAGTCTATTGATAGAGTGTGGCGGTGCGTTGGGGGTTCCCCGACTCCTGCACCCCCGTAGTGGCACGAACAGCCCCCCCCAGCCAGTAGAATAGAGGGAGTTTATTGCTTCTCCAGGATACAGCACAACACAGATGTAATCTGGTTACAGGGCAGGCCTAGGATATCTCAGCCCCCCCTTGAGATGGGGGAGACTGGGCCCCTAATTTCCAGCCCCTTCCCTAGGCTGTCTCCTCCATGATCCCAGACAGAAACTAACTAACCGTCCCTTCCAGCCCTGCCCCCCAGCCAGGGGCGGCTTTCCACCTTCCTTTGTCCCTCTCCCTGGGGGGTAACCGGTCAGACAGGTACCTCCCTTTCCCATCAGCTACTCGGCTGGGCCGTGGTCCAGACAGTAACCAGTGGGGTCACCCACAGCCCAAGCCCAGCAACCAGCAAGGTACCCACACTACGTCACATAGAGATTCTCTAGGATTTAGTCAGGAGGAGAGGATGGAAGAGGATAAAGTATGGGCCAGATCAGACGAAAAACATTCACATAAAAAGAATCTGACACATCAGAAAAGGGCAGACAAATAAATCTGAGGAAGTGGGTCTTTGCCTAGGAAAACTTATGCTCCAATTCATCTGTTAGTCTATAAGTTGCCACAGGACTCCTTGTCCTTTTAGCACATCCAGAATAACACGGCTACCCTTCTGATACTTATTGCCCTTATAGAAATCCATGGTACGCCCACATCTTGAATACTGCATACAGATGTGGCCTCCTCATCTCAAAAAAGATACACTGGCATTAGAAAAGGTTCAGAGAAGGGCAATTAAAATGATTAATGGTTTGGAACGGATCCCATGTGAGGAGAGATTAAATAGACTGGGACTTTTCAGCTTGGAAAAGAGGAGACTAAGGGGGGATAGAGGTCTATAAAATCATGAGTGGTGTGGAGAAAGCGAATAAGGAAAAGCTATTTACTTGTTCCCATAACATAAGAACTAGGGGCAGCAGGTTAATGTGCAATAGGTTTAAAACAAATAAAAGGAAGTTCTTCTTCACACAGCGCATAGTTAACCTGTGGAACTCCTTGCCTGAGGAGGCTGTGAAGGCTAGGACTACAACAGGGTTTAAAAGAGAACTAGATAGATTCATGGAGGTTAAGTCCATCAATGGCTATTAGCCAGGATGGGTAAGGAATGGTGTCCCCAGCCGCTGTTTGTCAGAGGGTGGAGATGGATGGCAGGAGAGAGATCGCTTGATCATTCCCTGTTCGATACACGCCCTCTGGGACACCCCGCATTGGCCACTGTCGGCAGACAGGGTACCAGGCTGGATGGACCTTTGGTCTGACCCAGTACGGCCGTTCTTATGTTCTTATGATGTGTCAGTGGGTGAAGCACTGTTATGTGGTGCAGAAGAGGTGGATATAAAATTTAAAATATAAACAGTGGGGAAGCATCATGTCATGGAATTTATAAGGCTGGGGCAGAGCCTGCAGCCTTGTGCTATAGAGTGTTGCAAACGACAACCCCGGCTGTGAAATGGTTAACACAACATGGCACAGAAATGGCAGGGCAAGGAACAGGAACAGGGAAGCAACTGAAAGAGGCAGAAGGGGCAGAGTCCTGGGATGCTCCTGCTCCCCTTGCACAAACACCAAGCACCAAGACAGAATAAAACGTTGGAAACAGTTTTGAGAACTGCCAGAAAATAAATGTCCATCCCCTGATCCAAACATTTGCGGCAGGAGCAGGCTGCAGGGAGCTACGCCGTGCCTGGAGAAGGGGGAGAGAAATGGGAAAAGCTGGTCCTGGCAACATTAAAATTGGAACCTGGGTCCGCTGAAGTGTGACGGCCACCATGTGATTAGAACCAGGCTCCTGTTCAACTTAAACCGGGAGCTACCTTGGGGCCTGTCAGAGCGGGACATAGAAGGGCACAGAAGGAAAATATAGCAAACGGCACTGCACTGAACTGGTAAATCAGAGGATGAAAAAAAAGAATAGAACTTTCCCGGGGTCACAGCTGGAGACAGGATCGGTGGCTCCCTCACAGGGGAGAGAATAGAAAAAAAAAGTCAAAGTGAAACACTGAAATTAAGCAGGCAAACACCCAGCATGGATGCATTGACCTACAGAGTTGCCCAGTAACTATAAACTGCAATTAAAAGGGGCTGACCCACAATCCATGTGGGGCACACACTGAGGGTGCGTCTACACAGCTGCGTTATTCCGAAATAACACCGCGCGCATCTACACAGCCATTCCGTTATTTCAAAATAAATTTGAAATAACGGGCGGCTTATTCCGACGTCTGTAAACCTCATTCCACGAGGAATAACGCCACTTCTGCAATAGCCATTTTGGAATAGCGGTCGTGTGGACACTGCCCTGCTGCTATTTTGAAATAGCTCCTCCCCAGGGCCATTCAAATAATTCCTCCCCAGTGCCTCCTGGGGCTCTAAATCAGGTAGCATGTCCACATTAGCGGAGTCTGCCTCGGACTAATTCTGAGGCTTCCCTGTCATGTAGACTTGCTATTTAGAAGTAAGCTATTTTGGAGTATTTCTTCCAGAAAAGCGTATTCCAAAATAAGCATGCAGTGTAGACATACCCTAACAGAACAGACATTGTGGGGGACAAATTCAAATTTTTGGGGGGCAGCATAAAACTCAGGGTGATTCCCAACTACTTCAGCCCATGGAACCTCACACTGTGCTCACAGACACATGAATAACTTTCTGTCACAGATATTTCTACAGAACCTGTCACATTTCCTTTATAGCTGTTCTCAGCTTGTTAAATTTGCTGGTGCTGTCTGTAGCTGAAGATAAGAGTGTAGAGTTAATCTCTCTGGGCTCAGGCCTGGCTACCGACTTATGCTGCTTTTCACCGACCTCTCCTCACCCTGTTTCTCACTCTCTGGCTATGCCGTTATTCCTGAAAACCCCTCTTGCGCAATGCCGTTATTCCTGAAAATAATCAGCGTAGTGGCGTTGCGCAAGAGGGTTTTTCTTGTACAAGAAGGGGCCGTGTAGACACTCCTTCTGGCTCAAGAGCCTCTTTCGCAAAATGGCGGCTCATTAGGTATGCAAATGAGGCTCGGCGATATTCCACGCTTAGCCTCATTTGCATATTTCTGGTGCAAGATTGTGCCAGTATAGACATAGCCTCTCTGTTTTCAAAGTTCTCATTTCTAGTGTTGTACAGAAAGCGTCAAAAGAAAAAAAGCCCCTGAAGTCGGAAGAAAAGAATTAACTAAAAGAAATCGAGGGAAAATCTCCTGTTAATAGATCTAGCACAGTTAAAAGTATAACACCCCAGGAATGCAGCATTTCTTGAAGATCCGGGTGCCAAGCAAGATATACGCAGAATCTGCTCCCAAACACAACAGCGTTTCATACAAACTTAATATCCTTCACGAGCTTGCACAAAGATGCATTGAAAATGTGTTTGGTTTAATCGTTATACACTGTGCTTTTACGTTACATTCGGGGAATTAATGACACATGCCCATAGCTACTACAAATATATACGTAATGCTTCTGCAGCGGCCAGTGCCGGGTTCAATATCTAGGGGTTCCTCTCCACCCACCCAGCACTTGCGCCAGTCCCCTCCTAGTAACCTGGGAAATTCACACCCTTCCCCAAGCGCCTCTGAGAGGCAATGCTTCCCCATGCACCAGCACAGAGCAGAAATTGTAATACCGGGGAGGGAAGAAATGTGGCATTAAGTTGGGAACGCACCACACAGAGTTCCCAGCCAATCCCCAGAGTAACAGCCTCACCCCAAGCAAACAGGGCAGGGTCCTTTTCCCCTCAGGTTCTCAAATCCTGCAACCCAAACATCCGGAGTGAAGGGAGGTAAAGAAGCATCTTATCTAGTTGGCTGGTCACTCGCCATCCGCCTGCTCACTGCTCTGACTATACCGGCCTCTCGCCCTGCTTCCACGCTACCCTGCTGGCTATCCCGTTACCATCCATTGTCTTCCTCTTCCACTTCCGTCCATCCACCCCATCCTGATTTCAGCTTCTAGTGACTCTTGTCTCTTACCCTACAGGACAGAGGAAACACAGCTCCAACACCATGAGCAGACGAAAAGAGGCACCTCCCAACACCTATTGGCTACGTCTAGACTGGCATGATTTTCCGCAAATGCTTTAATGGAAAAGATTTCCGTTAAAAGCATTTGCGGAAAAGAGCGTCTAGATTGGCACGGACGCTTTTCCGCAAAAGCACTTTTTTGCGGAAAAGTGTCCGTGCCAATCTAGACGCAGTTTTGCACAAGAAAGTGCCGATCGCCATTTTCGCCATCGGGGCTTTTTTGCGCAAAACAATTCCGCGTTGTCTACACTGGTCCTCTTGCGCAAAAGCATTTGAGCAAGAGGACTTTTGCCTGAACGGGAGCAGCATAGCATTTCCGCAAGAAGCACTGATTTCAGACAGTAGGAAGTGAGTGTTCTTGCGGACATTCAAGCGGCCAGTGTAGACAACTGGCAAGTTTTTCTGGAAAAGCCGATGCTTTTGTGGAAAAACTGGCCAGTCTAGATGCAGCCATCAAGTATGGGAGTGATGGGAGTTTACTCATGGATGCTGGAGTGAGCGTGAGGCCAAGCCCCCAGCGCCTGCGGGAGCCAGCAGGGGGCTGCCAGTCAAAGGGGTTTTGCTCTCACACCCGTATCACCAGGGGGTGACTCCACAGGCGTGAGTGTGACACGGGGGTCAGGGCACGAGGAGCCAGCCGCGGGGCTGCTCTGACTGACTCCCAGAGCCAGCGAACGCAAGAGGCTAACAGAGATCTGGGAGGTGGTTCAGAGTCAGGGTCTCTGATCCCAACCAAACCCAGCACAGGCCGGAGCTCCCAGAGGGCAGAGGATGCAGCAGAAACCCAGCAGCAGCAGGGTCGGTGGGGGAAGAGGGGAGGCGGATGTCCAGGCTCTTGCACCCAGTGCCGCATGTCAGAGTGGCTGCCTGTGGGCAGGTGGCGTGCGGCTGCTTTGGGTGCAAGGAGCAGCTGGAGATTCTGCTGTGACACCAACACCAGGAGAGCCCCCTTCTTACCCCAGGGCCAGAGCCCCCCTCCCCATCTCCCCTCGGGGGGGGGGGATGTTCTGTAGCAGGAGAGTGAGTCTGGTCCAGGGTCCCACCCGACAGGCTGCTCACACCAGGGAGGTTTGCTGGGGTCTCTGAGTCGGTCCCCAAACACAGTCCAGTCCTGGCTGCCACTGCAGCTCTCACTGATTTTCTCTTCTGCTGTTAGCTGCTGAAAACGGAATAGAAACTCCAAGGGACGGTGCATGATGCCAGCCGACAATCACAGCGTTTTTATACCTGAAACCTTCATCCTGACCGGCTTCCCCGGTACGGAGGAGTCTCGAGTCTGGCTCGCCGTCCCCTTCTGTCTGATGTACATTGTGGCGCTTCTGGGGAACTCTCTGCTCCTGTTCATCATAGCGACAGAACGAAGCCTCCATGAGCCCATGTACCTTTTCCTCTCCATGCTGGCTGCTGCTGATCTGCTGTTGTCAACAAGTACAGTGCCCAAGATGCTGGCCTTGTTCTGGTTCGGTGCAGGGGAAATTTCTTTTGCTGCCTGCCTCACCCAGATGTTCTTCATCTATATCAGTATTACCTCCGAGTCGGGCATCCTGCTGGCCATGGCGTTTGATCGGTACATTGCCATCTGCAACCCCCTGAGATACACCCCCCTGCTCACCAAGCCTGTGATCGGGAAGATCGGGCTGGCGGTTCTCACAAGGAGTGTCGGCGTCTTTTTTCCTTACATCTTTCTCCTGAAACGGCTGAAGTTCTGCAGATCCAACCTCCTGCCTCACACCTACTGCCAGGAATGGGCCATGGCTCGGCTGGCCTGCAATGACATTACACCCAACTTCTGGTATGGCATCGCCACGGCTTCTTTAGCATTTGGCTTAGATGCTTTGCTCATCGCTCTGTCTTATGTGCTGATCCTCGGGGCCGTCTTCCATCTCCCATCCAAGGGCACCCGGCTCAAAGCTCTGCGCACCTGCGGCTCCCACGTCTGTGTCATCCTGATGTTCTACACCTCATCTTTCTTGTCCTATTTCACAAAGCAATATGGGAACATCATCCCCGGTTACATCCTCAACCTCCTGGCCAACAGCCACGTGCTCCTCCCCCCCATGCTAAACCCCATCATTTATGGGGTGACAACAAAAGAGATCCTGAGACGGGTGATCAGATGGTTTTACTGGCACAAGAGCTAAAACTGCTGAGCTAGAGGAGGCAGGAGAAAATGCCTCGGGTGTGGAGAGGAAAGCCGGGTGTCCCAGAGGGGCCTGGTAACGGGGTCGCCACTGTGTGAATTGGAAAGCTGGTCTCGGTCTCCCACAGAAGTCGGGGCAATAAAAGTGATTGGCTCCGCATCCTGTCTCTGTTCTCCCCTGGCACTGGGATAGCTACCGTAACGCGCGCCCCACAAACTCAGCCTGCCCGGGGGAGTCCACTTCTCCGTGGAAGGGGAGCAGCCACGGCAGGGAGAACAGATGGGGCGCAGGGCACAGGGGCGAAGAGACGCCCTGGTGCAGCTCTGGCTGGGAGCTCGCAGGCTGGGGTGCCCCCCTGCACGGGGAGGTGGGTGCTCGCCCAGCTGGGCAGCTGGGGTTTGCACTGGACAGCCGGCAGCTGGGCTGGAGAAAGGGCCATCTGGGGCCTTGCACCACCCTGGTCTGGGACTGCCCCAGGCCCAAGTTCCCAGGTCCCTCCCCTGAACCCCTCTTCACCTCCGTCCCCTGCCCTGACTCCTGCACATTGACACACACACATCTCTGCCCTGAGCTCCCACATCCTCAGCTCCCTGCACCCCCACCCCTCAGTACTGCACCCCAATTCCCCACCCTGAACCCCTCTCCCAACTGCACCCCTGACTTCTGCCCCCCAATTCCCCACCCTGAATCCCCCTCACAGCCGCACCCCTGACTTCTGCCCCCCAATTCCCCACCCTGAATCCCCCTCACAGCCGCACCCCTGACTTCTGCCCCCCAATTCCCCACCCTGAATCCCCCTCACAGCCGCACCCCTGACTTCTGCCCCCCAATTCCCCACCCTGAATCCCCCTCACAGCCGCACCCCTGACTTCTGCCCCCCAATTCCCCACCCTGAATCCCCCTCACAGCCGCACCCCTGACTTCTGCCCCCCAATTCCCCACCCTGAATCCCCCTCACAGCCGCACCCCTGACTTCTGCCCCCCAATTCCCCACCCTGAATCCCCCTCACAGCCGCACCCCTGACTTCTGCCCCCCAATTCCCCACCCTGAATCCCCCTCACAGCCGCACCCCTGACTTCTGCCCCCCAATTCCCCACCCTGAATCCCCCTCACAGCCGCACCCCTGACTTCTGCCCCCCAATTCCCCACCCTGAATCCCCCTCACAGCCGCACCCCTGACTTCTGCCCCCCAATTCCCCACCCTGAATCCCCCTCACAGCCGCACCCCTGACTTCTGCCCCCCAATTCCCCACCCTGAATCCCCCTCACAGCCGCACCCCTGACTTCTGCCCCCCAATTCCCCACCCTGAATCCCCCTCACAGCCGCACCCCTGACTTCTGCCCCCCAATTCCCCACCCTGAATCCCCCTCACAGCCGCACCCCTGACTTCTGCCCCCCAATTCCCCACCCTGAATCCCCCTCACAGCCGCACCCCTGACTTCTGCCCCCCAATTCCCCACCCTGAATCCCCCTCACAGCCGCACCCCTGACTTCTGCCCCCCAATTCCCCACCCTGAATCCCCCTCACAGCCGCACCCCTGACTTCTGCCCCCCAATTCCCCACCCTGAATCCCCCTCACAGCCGCACCCCTGACTTCTGCCCCCCAATTCCCCACCCTGAATCCCCCTCACAACCGCACCCCTGACTTCTGCACCCCAACTCTTTACCCTGAGCCCCTGCTCACATCCCTAATCCTGACTCATGTACACCTGACACCCCAAACCTCATTCCTTCACCTCCCACACCTCAAACCCATTGTTCTGAGCCCCTCCTCACACCCAACCCCTAATGTGTGTACCCCATTTCCCTGCCTTGAACCCCTCCTCACACTCCCACCCCTCACTATTGCACCCCAATTCCCTGCCTTGAACCCTTCCTCACATCCCCACCCCGACTACTGCACCCCAATTCCCTGCCCTGAAATCCTCCTCACATCCCTCAGCCCTCACTCCTTCACCACCCACACTCTCCCAATCTTGACTCTTGCACCTCCCACACCCTTACCCATGCTCTGAGCCCCCCATGCTCCAACCCTAACTCCTGACCCCCCACAATGCCCAGTGCCCCCTGCCTTAGCTCCCTACCCCCCAATCTCCGGCCTTGACACCCCACACTCCATCCCACATTTTAATTCCTTACAGATGGGTCCATCTTCTGTTCTGGGGAAGGTCCTTTGAGAGTCACAGCTAAATACAAGGCCTAACAGATAACTAAGCAAAAGGAAGCCAGTCACCTTTCAGGTTAACATAAAGGGCACCTCAGTCATTAACTCCAGCTCTATGTTATACCCAAATAAATGTCCCTTTTTTAATCTTGCTAAGTTCTTGGCCTCACAAACATCCTGCAACAGTGAGTTCCACAGGTTGGCAATGTGCTGTGTGGGAAAGCCATTCCATTGTTGGTTTTGATTTGCACCTTTTGCTTTCCTTGCCTGGCCTTGGTTCTCGTGTGAGGAGAGGAAGAGCACCTCCAGATTGGTCAAACAGAGAGTTAAGATGCATGAAGCCAATTGTGGATTTCTCTGGCAGGTTAATACCAGGGGCACCACAGTCCCTCAGCCCCCATACATCAGTGCCCTGAGCTGTCCGGCCCCTGGCACTGGCTGCTCTCACAGCTCCACATTCCTGACCCACAATGAGCAGCGGGTCTAAGTATCCCAGGGTGGCATCAGCCGCCTCTGTGATACTGCCCAAGGTGCAGGAGAGACCGGGGAATAACACGTCGGTGGATTTGGGAAAAATGGAATACGTGGCATTTCTGGCCTGAGGGGACTTGTCTGGAACCGACTGACCAGCGAGGGGCAGAATTTGCCCAGCAAAGCCGAGCGAAAAGAAACGTTTTACGCTTTGTGGGGCTCGTCTCTGTCCTGGAGTCTCCCCACAGAGGGTGTCAGAGAATCACTCTGCCAGCATGTCCCTAAAGGGTCAATTTGGGTCATTTTTCCAGAGGGCGCTCGACCCTTTCTTGGCGTGTGTGACACTGAGCCAGACCAATTCCCTGCGGCCCAGCACCCTGTCCTCTGACAGCGGCCAATGGCAGGTGCATCCCAGGGAATGAGCAGACCGGGGCAGTTACTGTGTGATCCGTCCCCTGAAGCCCACCCCCAGCTTCTGGGGCAAAGAGTCTGTCCCTGCCCCAAGGAACAGACCTACCAGGGGGTCCTCCCCCTGCTTCTCCCAGGGTTTGCACACGACCAGCACCAAGTTCTCCCTGCCCCAGTACGGCTTCCTCATGTTCACGTGGTACACCCATTGGCCGCGCGTCCGGCCCGTCAGCTCTACCACGTAGTTCACCTCGTTCAGCTGCTTAGCAACCTAGACGGGGCCGTCCTAGGCGGCTTGCAGCTTGTTCTTCCACACGGGGATTAGGACCATCACTTGCTCCCTGGTAGCGTAGGTGCAGGCTGGTGCATTGCGATCGTACCAGACCTTCTGCGTCCTCTGGGCCCTGCTCAGGTTCTCTCTGGCCAGGCCCATGAGTTCTGCGAATCTTTCCCAGAACCCTCCGGGGTGGTCTTCCCCTCCCACTCATCTCTCAATAAGTCCAGGGGTCTCCTCACACACCTCCCATATAACAGCTCGAACGGTGAGAACCCCGTGGACTCCTGGGGCACCTCCCTGTACCCAAACAGCAGGTGGGGTAGGTACTTGTCCCAGTCCTGCGGGTGTTTGTGCATAAAGGTCATTAGCATCTGCTTCAGAGTCCCGTTGAATCTCTCCACCAACCTGTTGGTCTGGGGGTGATACGCCGAGGCCCAGGTGTGCTGGACCCCGCACGTCTCCCACAAGCACCGGAGCAGGGCCGACATGAAGTTGGATCCCTGGTCCGTGAGGACCTCCTGGGGAAACCCACCCTGCTGAAAATAGTCAGCAGCGCGTCTGCCACCGTGTCTGCCTCGATGGAGGGCAGGGCCACGGCCTCGGGGTAGCGGGTGGCGAAATTCACCTCCACCAGGATGTATTTCTTCCCCGCCCGGGTTGCTCTGCTGAAGGGTCCCGCTATATCCATCACCACCTTCTGGAAAGGCTCCTCTATGATGGGTAGGGGTCTCAAAGCAGCTGTACTCCTATCTTGGGCCTTCCCCACCCTCTGGCAGGAGTCGCAGCTGCAGCCCTGCTCAGCCTGCGGAATAGACACAGATGGAGTTAACCTCCCTCCATGGACTGGTCTAGCGCTTGGAGCCCTGTGAGACACATTGAACCTCTAGTCCAGCATCCTCGCCATCTGACCAGGGTGGAGCCAGAGAATTTGCCAAACCAAGGGAGGGGTTGAACCTTTAGTCCAGCATCCTCACCATCTGACCAAGGTGGAGCCAGAGAATTTGCCAAACCATGGGAGGCCAAGTTTGTCTAGCAACATTCCCAGCACTGCCTCTGCTTACTGGGCTCTCAGAAGATATTAGGGGGTAAATTAAGAGCTAAATAACTGCACAGAACATTGAGAGCCAAAACTGGCAGCTATAAACAAACTTTATGGGACTGTGGGTAGCTTAGCCATACCCATGATAAGTTGATATCCAGCTAATTAAAATCATGCTGGACTGAAGATGTTGCTGGACCAGAGAGTGCTGGACTAGAGAGGTTCAACCCATAGTTTCTGACTTCACAAAATCTTCTGGCAGTGAGTTCCACAGGTTATGCACTATTTGAAGAAACACCTCCTTAGGCTTGTTTTAAACCCACTGCCTGTTAATTTCACTGGGTGACCCTGGGTGGGGTGGGGTGTGAAGCAGTAAATCACATTTTTATGTCCCACTAATAGACCTCTATCATCTTTCCCCCTAGTCATTCCTTTTCTAGGCTGAAAAGTCCCAGACTTTTAAATCTCTCCCCATATGGCAGCTGTTCCGTACCCCTCATCATTTTTGTGTATTCTGAAAGCTGACCATTTCCTCCTTCCCTTTGTTTTCTGTCCTTGAACCAGTCACCAGGACATGAAAGGGCCTTCTCTCTTACCCATGGCAGCTCCCTTTGCTCAAGAGCCTTTGATGAGGGACTTCCTCAGAGGCTTTATGACAATCCAAGTGCACACAGCCACCGGCTCCCCCTTGCCCACATGTTTGGTGACCCCCTCACGGAATGCTAATAGATCGGATTTCGTTTCACCAAAGCTATGGTGACACTTCCACAGGAATCTGTGTTCATCTGTAGGCCAGAAAAGTCTGCCTTTACAAGGGTTCCCACCAGCTTGGGCGGTTCTGAAGTTTATTGCCCAATAATTGAAAGAATCACATCGAAAGCCATTTTAAACATCAACACCACGGTTGCTGCCCTGCAGTTGATTTACACGACAGGTTACACACCACAGCTGTGCCCTGACTCCTGCACTGCCGGAGGAAATACCGCGTGCGCATTGGCTGCCAGAACTGCTCTTGAGGTCGTGTGCCATTATTGTATTTGCATGGCTTTTATTTATAAGACATTTGCAATCTCCCCTCGCTCCATCTGTCGAGATGTGATACCGAGGACATTCACGCTTGGCACCGTCTGCCTCACACAAACGATTGAGCGTAATGAATGAATGATGAAGAGACAAAGCATCTTCCAGAAGGCCACAGATCACCCATCTCATCTCAGAGTTGGTGTCATCTCTTTTTGCATGAGCAGCCAGCCACCTGACACACACATAATGGCCTAACGTTTCAATGGAAACTAGAGATCTGGGTTACTTCGGTTTTTAGATGCCCAAAGAAAGATGTCTTCAAAGTGCCAGTTTTCAAAGAACCATAACTGAGCCCTTTCTGTAATCAGGCCCTTTGCAATATCTTCACATAACTGAAGAAACCCAAAATCATTAGTGACTTCAGAAACTTGAAGACACCCATCCATCCATGCCTTCATCCATCCAACCACTTCTCATCCATCCATCTGTCCATCCAACCACTCCTCATCCATCCATCCGTCCATTCATCCATCCAATCACCCCTCGTCCATCCGTCCATCCATCCATCCAACCACCCCCATCCATCCCTTCATCCATCCAACCACTCCTCATCCATCCATCCGTCCATTCATCCATCCAATCACCCCTCGTCCATCCGTCCATCCATCTGTCCATCCATCCATCCATCCATCCAATGACCCCTAATCCATCCATCCGTCCATCCATCCATCCATCCATCTGCCCATTTCTTCCATCCATCCATCCATCCATCCATCCATCCACCCTTCACCCATCAGCCCATTTCTTCCTTCCACCCATCCATCCATCCCTTCATCCATCCAACCACTCCCATCCATCCCTCCGTCCATCCATCCATCCCTCATTCATCCATCCCTCATTCATCCATCTATATACTTACAAACCAAAGAGAGGTACTTAGAAATCTTCACACATCCAGTTTGGGTTAATTACCTAGAGAACATTTTGTGGATGCTCTTTCGAATCACTTTGGTTTTTATGCTGTATATTATGGGGTTTAAGACAGGGGGTATGAAGAGATAAAACGTGGACATCAGAGTGTTGAAAAGGGGTGGGGCATTCCTAGCATACCTGTGTATCACAGAGACGGACATCATTGGGATGTAGAATAGTAGCACGGCACAGATATGGGAGACACAGGTGTTCAGCGCCTTGAGGCGTTCCCCCCCAGAGGCTATACGGAAGATGGTTGTCACAATGACAATGTAGGAGATGAAAATAAGCAAAAAGTCTATTCCAAAGATAAAGAGAAGTGTGCATAAGCCATAGATATTATTGACTGAGATGTCTGCACACGCCAGCCTCATCATGTCAGAGTGCAGACAGTAGGCGTGGGAGAGGGCATTGGAACGACAGAACGGCAAGCGTTTAACGAGAAAGGGTAATGGAAACACCACGCTGAAGCTTCTAACCACAACAGCCAGCCCGATTCCCATGATCCTGGGCCGGGTCAGGATGGCTGCGTAGCGCAGCGGGTTACAGATGGCCACCAAGCGATCGAACGCCATGGCCAGTAAAATCCCCGACTCCATGAAGGAAAAGGAGTGAATGAAAAACATCTGGGCCAGGCAGGCGTGGAAAGCGATGGCTGTGGAGTGGAAGCAGAAGGTGCCGAGCACGGTGGGCAGGGTTGACAGTGAGACACCGAGGTCGTTGACTGACAACATGCAAAGGAACAGATACATGGGCTGGCGGAGATGCTGTTCTTTCCAGACAATGCAGAGAACAAGGCAATTCCCCACCATGGCAGTGACGTAGAAGACACAAAAAGGGATCGAGATCCAGTGATTCGCATCGTCCATGCCTGGGAACCCGGCTAGTTGGAACGTTGCAGGCTGGAAGTTGGTGCTATTCCAGTCCGTCATGATGAGCAGTCGCTGTGCCCAGCCCACTCCAGATCCCTGTGTAAATACAAAATGAACCTTTGTGTCACTTTTGATCAGAGCAGAGGAAAGATCAATACAGGGCACTCTCCCACCAATCCCTAGTCACACTAGGAACTCTTACCAGTTCCCTGCTGTGCCTGTGGCCACCCCAATACAAATAATAAACCTGGGGCACTAATTGTTACATCTAGGGTGGCTTTTTTCAGCTCTGTGTCAAGTGTGATTCATTATGACCCTTCCAAACTCAAGGCTCAATGTCACGGTCACCGGATTTGCAAAGCTGTAAATGTCATGCGGTCGGCTGTTTAAATCTGAAATATTATGGTGTTGTAACTGTAGGCTCCTGGCCTAAAGTGGGGAGGAGGAGTGGTCACATGATTATGGTGGGGGAGTGGTTGTGGCATTGTCAATATTACTTCCCTGCTGCTGTTGGCAGGGTGCCGTTTCAGACCTGGGCATGCAGCCACCAGCTGCTGTTGTCTGGCCACCAGCCACCGCTGTCTGGACTGGACAAATACATGGGCTGGCGGAGACGCTGTTCTTTCCAGACAACGCAGAGAACAAGGCAATTCCCCACCATGACAGTGACGTAGAAGACACAGAAAGGGATCGAGATCCAGTGATTAGCAGCTTCCAGGCCTTTAGATGCTCTGAAGGAATGCAGAAGTAAGGGTGGCAATATACACCCTCCTCAAATAACATTGTGATTCCCCCACAATTGCCTTTTGTGTAAGACCCCCCCCTTTACAGCACAGGGTAAAAGGCCAGTTTTCACAGGGGGACACCAGAGTTCATGGTCCATAGCTTGTTGTTCATGACCATGGATTTGGTAGGGCCCTCATTATACGGCCCCATGTGCTTCCATGACTGGTATCGTCTGGGGCATAGCTGGCAGGACATGGCCCTTCCATGTATGCAGCTCTGCTATACTGATCCAGGGACAGCGGCGAGACCAGGGTGGGGAGGGAATCACTTTGATTGCCAGACCTTGGGGTTGGTGAAAGAGACAAGCTTGTGAGCTGACCCCGAACTCTTGTGCAAGCCGTCGTGTCTGAAGAAGCAGGCAAACACTCATCTCTCTCACTGGCTGGGGTGGGGCCACTCAAAGCGATTCCCTCTCCCCCCTTGTCTGTCTGATGTTCCCAGTAGAATATCACTGATGCTATTAGATTTGGACAGGCACACGCTGGTCATTGTTGCACCCACTGCTGTGTGTGTTTGCCCCAAATTCTCTGCCGAGTGACAAACTAAAGTTAAATGGACATTGCCTATCTCCTAGAATTGGAAAGGACCTTGAAAGGTCATCAAGTCCAGCCTGCCACCTTCACAGCAGGACCAAGCACCATCCCTGACAAATTTTTGCCCCCAAATGGCCTCTGCAAGGATTGAATTCACAACCTGGGGTTTTACAGGCCAACGCTCAAACCACTGAGCTATCCCTCCTCCTGGGTAAGATACCACCCCAGATGGGAGTCAAACTCACAATCCCTGGATTAGGAGACTAATGCCTTATCCATTAGGCCACTGGGGCTGCCACATGTGAGGTGTCTAGTGAACACTTGTGCTGAGCTGATTCTGTACCTGCTGTCCACACGCCTGTGTGAGTTTTGTAAAGTCCTGAATAGCGGTTCTGTGCGGATCAGTGAACACTCGTGCTGAGCTGATTCTGACCTGCTGCCCACACGCCTGTGTGAGTTTTGTCAAGTCCTGAATAGCGGTTCTGTGCGGATATTTTCAATGTCTTCAGTCTGCGAGGTAGCAGCAGGCGTCACCACCTGTTGCGAGGGGTGGTTACCCAGTGTAGAGCGATGCTGCATGGACAATTGGCCTTCAGTGTTGCCAATAACCACCTGAGGAATTCTGTTGGGAACCTACAGCCCAACACCTACCCCGTGGCTGTTTGCCTACAAAGACCTTGGACAGGTGACTTGATCATGTGACCCACTCCCTTTGGGAGGTGCTTTCACCGTGGGAGAACAATGGGGAAGGTTAGAAAATGGCCCTGGGGGTACCTCCATGCACATCTTCCCTCCTGCTCTTCGCTTCAGACGCAGCTTTGCTAAGGACAGAGAGCCCGGAAGGTTTTGTTGACCCATCCTGACATAGGATGCACTCCAGGGACTTTTCACCCAGCTGTTTGTTCCATCGCTGCTAAGAGCTTGCACTACTTGGGGATCGGTGCGTGTCGTCTGCTTTCTTTAACGATCCTACGCTCAACCTTTTCTTTCGGTTATTAATAAACCTTCAGATTTTCGAGGCGCAAGGACTGGCCCAGCGGGCTCTGTGGGGTAAGATCTGAGTATGAATTGAGCTGCTCCTTTGGGACTGGGAGAATCCGTTGGGAATCGGTGAGATTGGTTTGCAGAACCTCTCGCTGGTATAAGCGGTGGGTCTGGGTGTGGCACAGGAAATGCTGGAGGGGTTTTGCTTGTGAGACAGCTAGCTGGCCAGAGTGGCAGCGGACGTGCTCGGTGTGGCTGGTTTGGTGCCTTATAGAGGAGGACCCCAGTCTGGGGCTGTAACTAGCCCTGGGTCTAAGCAATTCACCCTGATTTGACCCTGTCAGTGGTTCCCCCAGAGCAGCTGCGATATTACAGCACCGGAGCCCTGACCTCCTTCCTGCTGGCACCCTCACCATGCCACCTTCAGCATTCCCGCCCCCCTGGCAGGGCAGGCAGCAATCCCAGGGCCAGGACCCGCCCGGCGCAAGTGGGGGCAGGGTCGCTGGTGCCCAGTCCAGCAAGGCAAGGAAGCGTGTGCTCACCCTCAGTGGGGCATTGCTCCGCAGCTTCGGGGCCTGTGGGCTCAGCACCTGGCAGGAAGGAGCCCTGGCGGATACGCAAGAGCAAACCCCACCCCCACACTGGGACCACCCGCAAGATTTTTCAAGCAAAATTCAACGTGACCAATTGGCCCCGAATCCAAGCAGTGTGCCAGGGAAGGAAGCCGGATCCTGCGCTCTGTGCGCCCGTTCTAACCTACATCTCACACCTGTGGCGCGGGAAGATCAAATGCAAGGCAGCTCTCCAGGAGAGAGCCCTTGGCCTCGTCCTTCAACAGCAGTGGGCAAATACCAGACCGTGGGCCGGATCCCGTTCACCATGGGTAGCCCCTGGCAGGTTGCCACTGTATTTACCTTTGCCTCCATTTGCAGCTCCCATTGGCTGCAGATCACCGTTCCTGGCCAATGGGAGCTGCAGGAACTGCTGTTCCAGTCCACACTGCTTCCCACAGCTCCCATGGGCTGCAGATCACCATTCCTGGCCAATGGGAGCTGCAGGAACTGCTGTTCCAGTCCACACTGCTTCCCACAGCTCCCATGGGCTGCAGATCACCATTCCTGGCCAATGGGAGCTGCAGGAACTGCTGTTCCAGTCCACACTGCTTCCCACAGCTCCCATGGGCTGCAGATCACCATTCCTGGCCAATGGGAGCTGCAGGAACTGCTGTTCCAGTCCACACTGCTTCCCACAGCTCCCATGGGCTGCAGATCACCATTCCTGGCCAATGGGAGCTGCAGGAACTGCTGTTCCAGTCCACACTGCTTCCCACAGCTCCCATGGGCTGCAGATCACCATTCCTGGCCAATGGGAGCTGCAGGAACTGCTGTTCCAGTCCACACTGCTTCCCACAGCTCCCATGGGCTGCAGATCACCATTCCTGGCCAATGGGAGCTGCAGGAACTGCTGTTCCAGTCCACACTGCTTCCCACAGCTCCCATGGGCTGCAGATCACCATTCCTGGCCAATGGGAGCTGCAGGAACTGCTGTTCCAGTCCACACTGCTTCCCACAGCTCCCATTGGCTGCGAACAGATCTGTGGCCAACGCGCACAGGAATTATCCATGCCTGTGGGGGCGCAGGGTAAATATAGCAGTGGTGCCCACCCGGACCTACCCCTGGCAAACCGTCACTGTCTGATTGCCCACCCCGGTCCTACAATCAGGCCCACACAGTCTAACTCCAGCAGAGCCCCTGGAATGGGCTGCACACAGCTGACAGGGGTCAGGGAGCAGGATTTGACTGCAAGATCCGCGCCTGTTACGGTACAGATCGAATTCTCCTATGTGCACCAACGCGATGCAACCCACGCCCACTGTGCATCCCTTCCCACCTGTCTCATCCCCAGGGGCTTTCTAGCCTGGAACCTCCTGCCCAGCTGCAGCTGTGTCTGAAATAAGTGTGGGCCGGCGCAGGCCAGGTTCGTTCAGTGCCCTGACTCCAAGGTGCCAGCGGGCTGCATTATGGCCAGGGTGATCAGGGCGAGTTTTAAGATCCTCTGTCCTAGCGTCGTTGCTGCAATAAACCACAGACAATACCAGAGTGGCAAGCACTGTGAATACGTCTGCTCCGACTGCCTGTGCCACGGACGCCGTCTGATCCCTGCAGCAACTGATCTGCGTGCGCGGCGTGTACCAAGCTGACACCGCCCCGGGTTTCAGCTTGCGAGCGGAAAGTTGTCGACAAGCCCCTCTGCCCGAGAGACGAGGCATTTTTGCTGCCCTCCACCTGCCGCCCCCAAACTCTGCGCCTAGCCCCCTTCTCGGCAGTGTACTCACCAGCACCGTGCAGGGCCGCAGGAGTGGGAGACTTCTCCGTACCGCAGAGGCCCGAGGCTGCACTGGTGGAGGTTGTGCGCTCGCTAGGCTCCCGGCGCGAGGGTAATTACAACGGGCCATTAGTGAAAGCCATTTGGGGACCGTTTCATTAGTGGGGAATGTCAACAGGTAGTTAAAGAAGGGAATCAAGCGAGGGGCAAGTTAAAGATTAACCGAGGAACGTGCGGCACTTACCCTTGGACACGCCTTGCTGAACATGACTCTCAGGCCGTAGAGCCTGGGGTGGGGCTAACGCACGGGGTGCAGACGGTGGCTCCAGCCCCTGGCTCTGACAGACATGTTCGCTTCCTGGGGAGAGCTGGGAATCTGATAGGAATGAAGATTAAAGGAACAGGAACAGACACGCTATGAGCTGGTTCCGCTACCCCCCAAATCCTATGGCTAACTTCTTATGCTCCTATCTACAATGAGAAGTGGGGGGAGTCTATTTGCTCATGGGGAACTTTATTCTGGGTGGCACATCCTGAATGTCTCATACTGCCAGTGCTAAAACATCCTTGGAATTTCTAAATCTCGTAGATGAGTTTCCTGGCTCAAAAAGTATTGCATCCAACACAGGGGGGTTCTGTGCTAGACCCTTTCCTCACGGAAAAAGAGAAACTGACCACAGAACTGAACCTCAATGGTAGCTTAGGTACGTGTGCTCATGACTGCATCGTATTTGTAATATGCAAACAAAATAAAGCCCACGCACCGTGAGAGATACACCCGGTGCGTTAAAAGAGCCGGTTTAAAAAGGTGAAAACAATTCTAAGGATGATCAGCTGGGCAGAATGTTTGAATCAGCAAATACGAGTGGCCATTGGGAATCACTTAAGAACCTCAATCTCACAACTGAAGAAGTTGTACATATTTTAAAAATGGCCAGGGGAAGCCATGGCAGCAATAGACACACACACACACACACACACACACACTGATTGACAGAAAAAGAAAATTGATAACAATGGCTGTAAATCAGAAGCTAGGAATTATAGACAATTGATAAAGGAAGCCAAAGGACACAAGGCGAAAGTGTTCAATAAATATTTTTGTTCAGTAGGTGGGACAAGTGTGATACCGACCAGTCGTTCATGATGAGTTCCTGGCAGGTCTTCTGCTCTGTCAATGATGATACATTTTTGGCTGTCTTCATGAACTAATCCGTTAACCATGCACAATTAGCCAACACAGCAGACACAGAGTCTCCAGAGACAAGAAATCAGAAAAGAATCAAAAGCACCCGGCCCAGTCTATTGTCACACAAAGCACAGTAATAGATGTCAGTGAACTAACTCAGTCAATATTATGGATACAGAATTGCCCCTACGTGAGCCAAAGACCACTTTTTGAGGTATGCTTTTATACACAAGCACAAACAAGTCTCACATCACTCCTGACATATCAGGTGGCCACCCTCTGTTGACTAGTTACCTCCGACAAGGGGGGTTCAATTGCTATCCAGCGTGCCGTCAATTGAGACCTGGTCATGAACCTGTGTGGGGATGCTGGTACCAAGCCATCTGTTACCATCTCCTGGAAATGGTACCCGACACCCTCTATCGTTTGATACCCTCAACCGTATTTATGCTCAGTCTTATGAACTAAGCTGGCTTCCTGCTCACAACTTGACTTGTTTACTCTCAGGCCTCACCCCAGGCCTTTGGTACCTGGGCTTATGTATCTTACTACAGAAGCAACTACTAAGGTTGGATGTTCTCCGATCAGAAGGCCTGGGTAACTTGCATCCAAGAGTTTTAACAGAACTGGCCGAGTGACAGCCCACGAGGCACAGGCCTGGTACACGTCTGTGTGACTCGGGCACTGGTATCTAGGGGCTGGGGCCAAAGAGAGGATAAGAGACCTTGATGCTACAGGTCAGTGAGATAAGTTGTTTTGGAGGCTAAAAAGACGGATTCTGCTCTGGCCTCCTTTGCGGGTGAGTGATTTGCAGAACCCATTCATGGCTCTTGTGGCCACAAGGGCCAGCTGTGCTCATCCAGGCTCGGCCAGGGGGGGCCTGTTTGCACCACGCGGTGTTGCTACAGCGCTCTGGAAGCTCAGGACTGTGGCACGATCCACACAACGGGCAGGGCATGGGCAGTGGCCAAGCAGGCACCTGCTACCCTCACCCTGGCCTACTTTTTTTAACCCTTTCCTGCCCACCGCATGGGCAGTGGCCAAGCAGGCACCTACTACCCTCACCCTGGCCTACTTTTTTTAACCCTTTCCTGCCCACGTAGACCACGTTCCGGCCATTGGCCCTTCCACGGAGCCACACGGGAAGGGCCCTGTTGTGCGTGAGCAGGCCGGAGCCCTCCGCTCTCAATGCGCCTGCGTTCACGCCCTGGGGCTGCCCGCACAGAGGCTGTAATGTGCCCAGCAAGCCTCCGCTAGCCCGGCGTTTGCCAAGAGCTCTGGGAGGCCCAGAGCTTGGGGAGGTGGGTTAAACGCTGTGCTGCCGGGGGAGGGAAGGGGCAGCAGGATGGGCAGCTGCATGGTTCACAAGCCAGCTCGCCCTCATGCAGGGCCAGGAGGGACCCAGGACCAGGCAGGGGCTGCAGAACCACCTCAGCGCTCATGTGCAGGCAAAGCCCCGCTGGGCAACCCCTGGCAGGGGAACTGTATTTTCTGGGCTGGCAAGGGCCCTCTGGCTCCACAGCGAGGTGAACAGAGCTGGGGAGCAGGGCAGGGGCCCTGCTCCCCCTGGACAAGACGAGCCACGGAGGCAGCTCAGATGGGAGACCCCCCCCACTTGCTGCTGGACAGTGGGCAATGCGCCGCCACGGAGGGGATCCGAGAACACCTTGGAGCATGGTCCAATGGACCAGAACCGCAGCAGCAAGTCAGGAGACTGGTTCTATTCCCCGGGATGCCACTGCCTGGCTCAGGGACCGTGGTGAAGTCACTTCATTGGTCTATGCCTCAGTTTCCCACCACGGGTCTTTTCTACACTAGAAGCTCTTGGGAGGCAGAGAGGCGCTCTCCCTGTGGCTGTACCCACACCGCAGTTGGCAGCAGGGTGAACATAAGAACGGCCATACTGGGTCAGACCAAAGGCCCATCTAGCCCAGTAGCCTGTCTGCCGACAGTGGCCAGCACCAGGTGCCCCAGAGAGGATGGACCGAAGACAATGATCAAGCGATTTGTCTCCTGCCATCCTTCTCCAGCATCTGACAAAGAGAGGCCAGGGACACCATTTCTATCCCCGGGTAATAGCATTTTATGGACCTAACCTCCATGAAATTATCTAGCTTCTCTTTAAACTCTATTATAGTCCTAGCCTTCACAGCCTCCTCTGGCAAGGAGTTCCACAGGTTGACTACACGCTGTGTGAAGAAGAACTTTCTTTATTAGTTTTAAACCTGCTCCCCATTAATTTCATTTGGTGTCCTCTAGTTCTTCTATTCTGGGAACTAATAAATAACTTTTCTTTATCAGCCCTCTCCACACCACTCATGATTTTATAGACCTCTATCCTATCCCCCCTCAGTCTCCTCTTTTCTAAATTGAAAAGTCCCAGTCTCTTTAGCCTCTCCTCATATGGGACCCGTTCCAAACCCCTAATCATTTTAATTTCCCTTTTCTGAACCCTTTCCAAGGCCAAAATATCTTTTTTGAGGTGAGGAGACCACATCTGTACACAGTATTCAAGATGTGGGCGTACCATAGTTTTATACAGGGGCAGTAAGATATTCTGGGTCTTATTTTCTATCCCTTTCTCATGCCAATACACACCTCTATTATGACAGGTTCTGGGGGCTCTGCTGAGCAGGTCTAATTAGGGGGACTTTCTTAGGAACACTGCTACTTACAGCCCAGGACTGGGGTCCTCCAGTCTAAGGCACCAAGCCAGCCACACCGAGCACGTCAGCTGCCTCTCTGGCCAGCAAGAAATCACACCCCAGTCCCCTCAGACATCCCAGTGTTTCCTGTGCCACAGCCAGCCCCTCTCCTTACACAGGCGAGAGGTTCTGAAAACCAACAGGTTTCCCCAGTCCCAAAGGACCAGCCACAGTCCCGGGTCCGTTCATACCTCAGATCTTATCCCACAGAGCCTGCTGGGCCAGGCCTTTCACATCGAAAATCGGAAGGTTTATTAATAACAGAAAGAAAAGGTTGCGAGTAGGATTGTTAAAGAAAGCAGACGACACGCACCGATCCCCAAGTTTCAGGTGCAGGCTCTTAGCAGCGATGGAACAAACTGCCAACTTAAAAGCCCACCCTATGGGTCAGCAGATCCTTCCGGGCCCTTTGTCTAGAGCAAAGCTGCCTCCGAAGTGAAGAGCGGGACTGAAGACATAGATGGAGGAACCCCTAGGATCCTTGTGATAACCACACCCGTGCGGTGGGGATTCCCGTAGGAAACCGCCTCCCAAAATGGAGTTCGTCGCATGAGCAAGTGACTCGCCTATGGCCTTTTGAAGTACACAGCCACGATGGACCCGCTCGGCTGCCAAATCCCTCAGGTGTGTGTTGGCAGCATGTACGGTCCGTTGTGCGCGGAATACCGTTATTCCCTGCGTTAGCCGCCCTTCGCCGCCGGCAGCTGCCTCCCAGAAGGAGACATGGAAAATCCCAGCCCCGAGCCAATTCTCACAACTGCACCAGCAAACATCCTACAGGCATGTGACTAGGATGAACAGGCTCCGCAGAGCAGCAGCTTTTGACCGACACTTCCCTGGGCCCACGCTGCACAGAATTTGAGGCAAACACACAGGAGCGGGAGCAACAACGTTAAAAATCCAGGAATGTCCCCGGCTTCCCCACCCGGAGAGCCAGGCGCCCGCCTGCCTGCGCCGCACGAGCTGACGTGCGAAAAATGGCAGCATGACCACAGCAGCTTGAGTTCGTCCAGCGCCATCCCGTCCCCTCCCCCCTCCCAGGTGTGTAGGTAGGTGGCAAGTCCACCCACAGCCGCGCTGCTAAAAATACCAGACACACTTGACACGACATCACAATCGACACGACATCTCAGTTAGGAAATACCAGACAGTTCTATTTTCTCAGTTCTATCTTCTCAATTTGTTCCCTGGACAGAAAGCTCAAATTTTGGACTGCCTGGTTCAAAACCGGACACCTGGCAACCCTACTATCTTCTCAATTTGTTCCCTGGACAGAAAGCTCAAATTTTGGACTGCCTGGTTCAAAACCGGACACCTGGCAACCCTAGCTCAGGCGGACGTGGCCTGTGCCTGTCCAGACGTGGCCCGTGTGGATGTGCAGCACCTAGCACACCGGGGACCTATGCTCTGTTACAGCTCCGTGGCGCTACCTGACCACACCTGAGGCAAGGAGTAGTCAGGGGCCTGCTGCAGCTGGCTAACGGAGATAGGGCAAAGTTCCTGGGGAGACCCCACCGTAAGCCACGGCCAGCTCTCACGGGTGTGCACGTGGAGGAGGTAAATGTGAGATCCAGCCGTGACACAAACACGTGTCTAAGGGACAGGTCTCTACTTCCTTCTCTGTTTCCTCCTGCTGCATCCCCACAGCCGCCTTTTATTGTTTAAAACAGAGCAAAACAACCCGGGCAGAGAGCCTCAGCCAGCTCCCAGCACACACCACCGGGACGGAGAGGCGAACCGCTCCCCACACCCGGCTGGGTTACGGGACATCTGGCAGCCACGTCCTTCTGATCACAGGGCCACGCCTCCTTCTGCAGACAGGCCTCCCCCAGGGGCTTGTCCAGCAGCAGCCACGGGGTGTAGGAGAAAGAAAGGCCCTGAAGCGTGGGACTGATGCCGGGCCTGCGGCCTGAACCAGAGTGAGCGAGTTACACTGCGAGTCACAGACCGGCCCTGTCACAAATGGGCGTTTGCCTGCAACTCCGTGTGTGGGACACGGACGTGGCTGCTAGCCCACGGGCCGTGGGAACGCATCCCCCCGGGACAGCACAAGGACCCCCCAGCCTGGCGTGCCACACACCGGTCTGGCCAAAGCAATGACTGTTGTGTCTGAAACGCCAGGAGGAAAGACCCGTCCCAGGGTATGGGAATGTTTTGTCTGACATTCCCGGGCGTCACACGGGGGGGAAGGGAGTGAGAGGTAAGGGCCAGTGACATTTCTGTGTCGTATCCAGGAATGGTCCCGTCCCCTGGAATTCAGCCTGTGACCCTCACGGCCCGCCCCACCGAAACCCAACGCTTCCCCAGGCTTCGGCGAGCGGCCCGCTGGCCATGCCGGGCAAGTCTTCAGGGCATGCGCCGTTGAGGATGGAATATTTTCAGCACCCTGTCCCAGAGGGGCTGGGTTTTCACCCCGTAAACGATGGGGTTGAGGGTGGGTGGCACCAGCACGTAGAGGTTGGCCAGGATAATGTGGGCCTGGCGATTGACATTGCGCCCAAAGCCCTGGCTTACGAACGAGAAGAAGGCCGGGGTGTAAAATATTAATATGACGCAGATGTGGGCGCTGCAGGTGCGCAGCGCCCTGAGCTGGGCCGCCTTGCACGGGAGCCGGGAGACGGCCCTGAGGATCAGCACGTAGGACGCAACGATCAGCACGACATCGAGCCCTATGGCCAAGAACGTGACGCTCCGGCACAGGCCAGCCGGGCTATGCCCATGTGCTCGCAGTAGGTGTGGGGGAGGAGACGGTGGCCGCAGTAGGGGAGCCCTTTCAGAAGAAAGAAGAACGGGAGGGTCACGCAGACGCTCCGGAGGACGCTCGCTGCCCCTGTTCTCCCTACCAGGGGCGTGGTGACCACGGCTCGGTACCGCAGGGGGTCACAGATGGCAACGTACCGATCAAAGGCCATGGCCAGCAGGATGCCCGACTCCAGAGCAAACATTGCGTGGACGAAGAACATCTGGGTGAGGCAGGCAGCAAAGGCGATGTCCCCTGCCCCGAACCAGAGCATGAGCAGCATTTTCGGCACGGTGGCGGAAGGGAGGATGAGATCGGAGACCGCCAGCATGCCGAGGAGAAGGTACGTGGGCTGGTGCAGGCTTCGCTCCACCGCAATCAAGACAAGCACCAGGGTGTTCCCCAGCAGAACAACAGCGTACACGGAGCACAAGGGGAGGGAGAGCCAGAGGTGAGCGGCTTCCAGCCCGGGGATGCCTTGCAGGGTGAACACGACTGAGCTGGCCACGGTGTTGTTGGTGGCAGATGCGACAGGCATCCTGCCCCCTGTGCGGCTTCCAAAAATTATGTTCCCTGCAACATCAAGATCCACAGCAATGGAGCACTTAGTCAGTCATTGAAGTTAATCTTATTCATAGAATACAAGAATCCCAGGGCTGGAAGAGACCTCAGGAGTCGTCGAGTCCAGCCCCTGCCCAAAGTAGGACCAACCCAACTCCATCATCCCAGCCAGGGCTTGGTCAAGCCGAGAAGTAAACACCTCTAGGGATGGAGATTCCACCCCTCCCTAGGGAACCCAGCCCAGCGCTTCCCCACCCGCCTAGGGAAATAGTTTTTCCTAATGTCCAACCTAGACCTCCCCCACTGTAACTTGAGCCCATTGCTCCTTGTTCTGCCATCTGCCACCCCTGAGAACAGCCTCTCCAGCCTCCTTGGAACCTCCCTTCAGGAAGTTGAAGGCTGCCATCAAATCCCCCCTCACTCTTCTCTTCTGCAGACTGAACAGACCCAAATCCCTCAGCCAGTTCTTCACCCCCCTAATCATTTTGGTTGCCCTCTGCTGGACTTTCCCCCTAACATGCCATTAGCCTTCTTGACTACAAGGGCACACTGGTGACTCCTATCCAGCTTCTCATCCACTGTAACCCCCAGGTCCTTTTCTGCAGAACTGCTGCTTAGCCAGTCGGTCCCCAGCCTGTAACTATGCTTGGGATTCTTCCGTCCCTAGGGCAGGACTCTCCACTTGTCCTTGTTGAACGTCCTCAGATTTCTTGGGGCCCAATCCTCTAATCTGTCTAAGTCACTCTGGACCCTATTCCTGCCCTCAGGCGTATCTACCTCTCCCCCTAGCTTCATGTCATCCGTGAACTTGCTGAAGGTGTAATTCATCCCGTTATCTGGGTCATTAATAAAGATGTGGAACAAAACCAGCCCTACAACTAATCCGTGGGGCACTCGGCCAAAGTACCGCTCTGCACTCTTCCTCACCTCATGAGGCTGATCCGAGTTACTATCCTCATTGCTTGAAGCATAGGGAGAGTAACACCCCATCCCACCAAATTGCAGATCTCGGCCTCCTTGTGCCTGTGTCTTTGGCCACTGAGTTCAGTGGGGAGTGTGTGTAACCAACCCCCCGGTGGGTTTGAACCTGGGACTTTGGGACCTGACTATAGGAGCCTCTGAGCTAAAAGCCAGCTGGCTCCCAGCCCCTGCTGTAGAGGTCTAGGTGCCACTTGCACTACTCAGTAACCACACTAGGGCTGTGTCTGCACTCGTGGCGTCTTGCACAAGTAATATTCAAATGAGGCTAAGGGTGGAATATCGCTGAGCCTCATTTGCATATTACTCACGCAAGAAGCCGCGAGTGTAGACACAGCCTAGGTGTGTGGGTTACATGTGCACAGTCACTTAGGTATGTGTGTTCAGGGCCCTAATTCAGACAGGAAGGTTGCAAATGTCAAATTCCCCGCCCATGATTCGGTGTTATTTGTGGGCCCGAGGACACGAGCAATCGCTCGCCCCGTGTTTTGCTCCTTCCGTCCAAGGATCTCCGTGCTCACGTCCAAACAGCAGCCAACTGTCTAGTTACGCCTCTGGTGAACAAACCCCTCTCCCCGCTCAGCCCTCTGGCTGGAGGCTGAGAAATAATCAATACCCGCACTCACCCCGTCTCCCCGCTCAGCCCCCCGGCTCAGTCCTGCTGTAAGCTGAGAAATAATCAATACCCGCACTCACCTGAAAGTCATGGGCTGCCTGTGTTTTCCTCTGACAAGGGCAGCAAAATGCAAACGGAGCCCAGACACCTTCGGCGACTGTATTGCTTGGAGATCAGGGGTATTTATACGTTGTCCTGCAAATCCGCTGGGCTAGAGAGTCAGCCAGGAGTATCGGCCCCCTGAGTTTTGCTGGAAGAGCAACAGCAAAGCAATTAACCCTTTCACTCCTGGCTCCCTCTCGCCGTACACGGCTCTCAGCATCCTTTTGTTTGGCATCTTCTCAGCTGCGTACCAGGGGGCCTGTCATGATGGAGTTACTGCCCGTGTGCCCTGTTCTGCATCCTGGCTGGGCTGGGCAGGGGCTGGTCCCCAAACGGAATACAGGGGGAACAAGACCCGTGTTTACGATTTCACGATTAAGCAGTGCAGCACGTCAGAGAATTTGGCTCAAGTCATCCCTGGCTTATTCCTAAGGTCACAAACACGTTTATAAACTTTCAGAGCGTTCACCAAGGAAATCAATTAAAGCCTTAGGAACATCCGAATGGCCAGACGGGGTCAGACCAAAGTCCATCTGGCCCAGTCTCCTGTCTTCTGACAGGCTATGTCTCTACTGCATGCTTATTTCCAAACAACTGAGTGAACGTCTATGCGTTCAAAATAATTTTGAAATAATGGGCTTCTTACTCCGACTCCTGTAACCCTAATTTCACGAGAAGCAAGGAAAGTCAGAGGGAAAGCGGTCTTCCTTCCACTTCCTGCTGTGAAGTCAGAGGGAAAGCGATCTTCCTTCCACTTCCTGCTGTGTAGCCAGCACCACAAGCCAAGTTAAGCAACTTCCAACTTCAGCTATGCAATGCACGTAGCTGAAGTTGCGTATCCTAACTTGGCTTTAGCCTGCAGTGTAGATGTATCTTCTGTGGCCAACGCCAGATGCCACCGGTAATCCTCAAGGGTGCGTCTACACAGTAGCACATACTTCGAAATAAACGATGCAATGTGAGCTGCACAAACTGCGTCGCTTATTTCGAAAGAGATTATTTTGAAATTTGGCACTGTCGACACAGCACGTATTTCGACGTGAAGTGCTATTCCTCCGACTTCCTTGGTCTTCATGCACCGAGGTTTACAGGAAGTTGGAGCAAGAAGCCCGATATTGTGAATTTATTTCGAAATAACGGGCTTCTTGTGTAGACAGTGCATAACGTTATTTTGGAATAACGGAAATATTCCGAAAGAATGTCCCTGGGTAGACGTACCCCAAGTGATCTCTCTCCTCTTATCCTTGCCAGAGGTTGTTGTGAAGGCCAGGATGTCAACAGGGTCCCAAAATAAGAACTAGATACGTTCATGGAGGTTAGGGCCACCGATACTTATTAGCCAGGGTGGGTAGGAACGGTGCCCCTCACCTCTTTATCGGAGGCTGGAAATGGGTGACGGGAGGGATCTTGTGAGTCTCTGTCCTGTTCCCTCCCTCTGGGGCATCTGTCATTGGCCGCTGTCAGACAACAGGATACTGGGCTGACCCATTCTAGCTGCTCTTATGTTCTATTTCCAGCCTCAAGCCAACAGTGGTAGGCACACCATTCCTACCCAGACCTGCCATAGTGCCTCCTACATTTGGCTCCAGAGGTCCCGGGTTCAAACCTGCCCATGGATGGCAGGGGTGACAAGCAAGATAGGGCATCTCAACTCTGTTAGACTGAGAGGGTTGGACGCAAGGGCCTGAGGTGCTGGGATGCTGAGCAGGTGGGGGAAGGAGAAGGGGCCTTTTGGTGTGAAATAAAGGGAGACTGACGCCCATCCCTCTGACTCGCTCCTTATCCCCTGCCCAGCTGTGGGTGACTGGTGGCCCACAGGGAGGCAGTGGGCGTTTTACCCCTGGTGTGGGTGGACCCAGGACCCCAATTTGGCACTTTATTCAGACCTTAGTTGAGGCAGGGACTGGGATGGGCTTTGGCTCAGACCCGACAGCCTGCAACAGCCAGAGCGGGAAGCACTGAACGAAAGCGCCCACAGCAGCTTTCTACCGTCAGCTTCTGCCCACGCCACTGCCCTTTTGTCTGGCCCTCCCAAGGAAACGCCGCACCCCTCTGGGAGGCAGGCGTGGCCCCTGCTCTGAGGAGCTGACACACACGTAGGTAATGGCTCATTGAGAAAAGTGCAGTTAAGTGCAGAGTCCCGGGGCTGAGGGAGGGGGGGGGACAGCCGTCTGGTTCTTGCTATGACGCAGGACAGCGGGGTTCAGTTCCCATTTCTGACACCGATGTCCTGTGTGACCTTGGGCAAGTTCTTGCCTCTGCCTGTGCCTCAGTTTCCTCTTGTGCAATGGGGCTAATAGCCCCGCTAAGCCCTTTGGGCCAGGGACTGTCTGTGCAGAGCCAAGATGCGGCCAGATCCAGCCTACCGAATGCTTTAATCCGGCCCACGGGTTGCAGCTGTTTTCATCCTGCTGCCCGGGCCACCGAGTTTCCAGGCGGCAGCTCAGGCAGCAGGATCCTATTGAAATGGCTCATGGCCGCAGTGCTACCCTGGCAGGGGCAAGAGCCGTGAACCTTTTAAATCGCGGAGCAACCCCAGGCGGCGGCCAGGCAACACGGTAGCGGTGGGGCCGGGAGCCGCGAGCCTTTTGTTGTGTTTTTCATACAAGACTCCAGCCCCTGACAACTCACAGGCCGGGGATCCCCCTTTCCCGAGACCCACCCCCGCGTCCCTTCTCTGTACCGGAGCCCATCCCGTGCCCACCCCGTCTGCACCCGAGAAGGGCAGCTCCTCCCCGAGCTCCCTGGGGTTCCTTCCTCTGTGTAAATGCCCCGCCTGGACGAGAGTCTCCCAATATCAGCTCCAGAGACGCCGGTTGCCCTCTGTGTGGACTGGGTTAGCCCTGGGGCTGCCCTTGCCCCACGACCACACCCCACGTCACACCGCACTAGAAATGCTGCGCACACACGTCTCGCATTGGGCCTGGCGCTCAGCTAGTCCTCAATGTTCAGCAGAGACCCCGACGTCCCCCCTGCCGGGACTCTGGCTGCCAGGCAGGCTTGGGGCCGGCTGGGCGTGTCCGGTTCATGCCGCTCTACACTTTCCTCGGGGTTTGCGGCTCTGCCCGGCGCGTGGGCTGGCACGGTCGAGGGAAAGGAAACGCCACGGGGCTAATCCACGTCAGCCGGGCATTGCGTACTGCTCCCCGGGGGACGCTGGGGGTTAACGTGAGCGAGGAAGGGGGGTCAGGAAGAGGAGAAAGGTGAACCGTGGGCTGGCGCGAGGGCGCAGGTGCAGTTCTGCAGGGGCCGGGGTCGAGGCCAGTCCTAGCTGGCATTTGCATTACT